CGATCCGCTGTTGGATCTCGACAACAATGGCGGCCTTCTCTTGGTAGCCCCTCGTCCCGCCAACAGATTGTTCAACAGGGAAGGGCTCCGCGCGCATATGAAAGCGTGAAACGACGACACGGTGAAAACTCCTAATTTGTTCAACGTCTGCTTCGTGGCGCGGGATACGTGCGTCAATAAACTCTGGGGAGAGAATAATCAAGATTGGAAATTATCGAGGTGATGATTCTCGATATTATCGGGGCTACCCCCTACTAATCTAGCGGAAACTGAACGGCTCGTTCAAGTTTTACAAGAATCTATTTACGGTTTACAATGATCGATATCCCTTCCCATTTCCTGTATAACGGCTATATAACGCGTGCGTTAAATTGTGCATTGTTAACGCGCGACAAATTTTTTTTTTTTCTTTTTTTATCGAACCACGTTTCGCGACGTTAAATTCGATACTCAATGCTCACCTCTTTCGAGCTTTTTGCGTAGGGAGGAAAGGGCACGAATGTGGAATACTCATTTTATTTTTTAGAGGAATTAAGTGAAAAAAAATTAGAGGAATTTTATGTTAGGTAAAAATAAATGTTATGGATTGTGTAGAATTTTTTACTTTTTCTAAATAAATATCGGATTAGTAATGTTTAAATTCAGATATTTAAATTATTAATAGAATTTTGTATTAATCTATAAGTATAATACGTAGTGTCAAATATAATAAAATAATTGCAATTAGATGAATAACATTTATAAATTATACTTTCTGAATCTTTTAATTATTTTATTATCAGTTAAATAAAATTTTTCTTATTATATTATAATCAAAAACAGGAAAATCTTCAAATCTTTATTAATATACTGAAATTATGATTATTACACTATGATTTATCTTTTCTTTAAAAAAAAATCACAAAATAAAATTAAAGTAAATTTTACTTTGAGTATAAACATTTTATTACGGAAATATAAAAAGTTTCTGTTAAACATAAAAGAAAAGACTACAACAACCTATCAACAACAATTGCTATGAAAGAATGTTTTAGTTGTTATAATATTTGAAGAAGATTGTATGAACAGGTCGAAAGTTTGATGTCTCATATTTCTAACCTATTTTATTCGATATCCTTTCCTCTATTATATCGATGTTTCTAAAAAAATATTATACAATAATCTATATAAGCTTTCAAGAATCAAAATTATATTTTTTTTATTTGAAAATTTTTTTTATATAAAAAAATTGAAGATAATTTTTCTTTAATCTTTTCAAAAACAAGTTACTTATAAATCCTTTTGAAGCAATAATTGTCGAATAAAATAAAATATCATCAGTTTCGAATTTTTTATTTTTAAAAAATTCTGTAGTGAAGAGTTTTCCAAGAATATTTTAATTTTTTTTTTTACTTAATAATACTTTTTAAAGAAAACTGATCAACTACACGTACGTTTCAACGTCTCTGAAGAAGTTAATAAATTTTTTTATCTTGCAAAAATGGATATTGAAATTTCTTTTAACTAATCTTAAACGTAATCGTAAAAATTCTATAGTGAATAGTTCTTCAAGAATATTTTAATTTTTTTTTTTACTTAATAATACTTTTTAAAGAAAACTGAATAACTATACGTACGTTTCAACGTCCCTGAAGAAGTTAATAAATTTTTTTATCTTGCAAAAATGGATATTGAAATTTCTTTTAACTTAAACGTTACCTTTGGATTTGGTAATTCGCCACTTTGTAAACTGGCCATGTAACATCTGAGTCGGAATTGTTCGCAATGAAGTCTCTCCAAATTTTCTTCCCACTGAACAATCTGATTGTTGATCTGCTGTTTCGTCTCCACGTCAGACACGACGGATTGCTGAAGATCAGCCATGTGTTTCAATTTGTGGTCCTGTAAAACGCGAGAGAGGATATTGAGCGATTTTTCACTATCTCTCTCTCTCTCTCTTTCTCTCTCCCTTCTTTGACGGATGAGAATAATGCGCATAAATTAAAGCAGAGTTATACACGTGTGTATACGCTCGACCCGCTTACCGATTCTATCGCTTTCTCTAAGCGAAATATTTCTTCCTGCAATAAATGAAGGGTTCCAGTTTTACCACGATGACGCGCAAACGCGGCTGCACAAGCCGAATGTATACTATTCACCCAGTTCTCGAGTTCCACTTGACACGGAGCCTAATGTAAAAGTGAAAAAAATTCCGTCACTGAATTTGTAACTGATAAGAAAATAATTATTATCGTCGATAAATAATTATATAAAGGTTTTAGCTTAATATAGTAAATTTTTTCGCGTATTTATTTTATTATTTTTTTGTTCGCGATGAACTGAAGATAGAAGGTTGGAAAATTTGTCGAAACAATTGGAAATGTTTCGAGTTTAGAAACACTAAAAGTTTTATTTTTTGCAATGGGGGAAAATTAAGAAATTTCAGAAATCGAAATTTTACAAGAGAGAAAAATTCGACGATGAAAAGATATTCTAAGTTTTAAAAAATTTTGAAAGTTTCGAGATCTCGAAAAAGAGTTAGTTTCGAGAATTTCGAGATTTCAAAAAAAGACTTTCGAAAAAAAGACATCCCGAATATTAAATTTAAACAATTTTGAGAGTTTCGAAATTTCAAAAAAGGATATTTCGAAAATTTTGAGAATTTTGATAATTTCTGAAATCTTAAAAAAAAAATCCTGAATTTTGAAAATTTTGAGATCTCAGAAAAAAAGATATTTTGGATTTTGAAACTTTTGAGAATTTCGATAATTTCAAGATCTCAAAAAAAAAAAATCAAAATTTCAAACGTTTCGAGATCTTAAAAGAAATGAATTTTGAAAATTTTGAAAATTTTCTCAAATCTTGGAAAAAATCTCAGAAAAAAAGACGTTCTGGATTTTAAAATCCTTGAGAGTTTCGATAAAAAAAAAAATCTCGAATTTTAAAAGTTTCGAAGTTTCGAGATCTCAAAAAGGTATCCCGAATTTTAAAGGTTTCGAAATTCGAATAAACTTCAAAATCGACTTTTCACGAATCTAAAAAAAATCAGATCTCAATTAATTCGTCCTCTCCTTCCGCGTATCTGAATACCTGAAATAAATAAAACGTACCTGAAATAAATAAGCATCGCCGAAAGCGGTGCTCAAGCAAAATATGTAGTCCCTCTTCGGATGTTCCGGGATCGGTTGCATTATCGCGCCATCGACTATGATCAAATGCTTGGGCGCCGCCTCCATGGTTCTACTTTCTTGGGATTCGCAAGGATAGAAGAGGAGCGTGGTCCCCTTCAGGCAAACCCAGTAACCTTTCCAACCCCTCTTCCTCGCTAGCTCGATCTGATGCTTCTTTCGTAACAGCCATTTCTTCACGCTTAGAAATCTACGATTCGAAACATTCGAAAACTTAATCCTATCTTCCTTACCCTCCCCCCTCTCGTCTCTATCGAACGATCGTTCTCGTCCGCATCTTTTGTCGACCATCGCCACGTCCCACTTACCCAGCTTTTCGTACCGCCCCCGTACAATTGAACGACGCAGCGGCTGTACCAGTCTGTTTCCCTCGATAGGGCGAATTTATCACGCTCTCCCCGTCGTCGTCGTCGCTAACCGCGGTAGTTAGGGACATTTTATCGTCGTCTGACATCTACAACATTTCACCGATATTACTTATCCGATCTATCCCATATATTCCGTTCGGGCAATTCTTTCACGAGAAGAGAATAACATGTATACGTGTGTGTTTGTGCGTGCGTGTGTGTGCGTGTGTGTGTATGATACAATTCGCCAGTGTTTGTGATCCGAATACTGATCGAGTGAACATTTAATCAATACATTTATTACACGTGTACGAACGTTAATAATTACGTTAATAATACAACGTTAATCAATATTCGTGTGAATATTACGAAAATATAATATAAGGACGATGAAATAGGTATATGTGTGTTTGTGTGTGCGTGTGTGTATGTGTTCTTCAAAATTACTCAGAGAATCATCAGAGTCGAAATACGAAAAAAAAAAAAAAAAAAAAAAAAATGGAAACGTGAAGGGGAGAGGGAGTTCGTATTCTCGTTGATCGAAATTATCGAGCTACGCGATATATCGATTCGCGTATATCGTAAGGATGCTTGCTTATTGTATATACTTGCAACAATACTTACATTACATTATCCTATCATCGTATTATCCTATATACATAAAAAGATCATCAAACGACAAGAAACAGAAAGATAGAAACAGAAAGTGGGAAAAAAGTAAAAAACGGTAAACAGAAATGAAACGTGCAAAAATTTAATTATTAAATCCTTCTATTATATTCGCTCAGTCGGTAAAAGTACAACGCGACGACGGTGAAGGACTACAACGACAAACAGAGTGGAGGGGGAAAGAAACGAGTGAAAAAGGAAACGCGGATAACTCGGATGCCTGTCTAACCTTTTTAGCGTAATTTGTCATACCGCGTAGCTTCTCGCGTATCCCCCTAAGGCCCTCTCCGGCCCAAAAACTTACGACTTTTTTCAGAAAGTCGGCGTTGCACGCGTCCGCCGTCATGTGCGGATGATAATGACAGTAACAACCCTCCTTCAACAGCTTCATGTTTTTCTCGGCCGTGCCGTTTATCCTGAACATGATCTCGCGGCGTGCGACGCTCAGTCCGTCGATGTAACGTTGTGCCCAAGTGTTCAACGCGCCGTTAATTATTCTCAACAATTTGTAATAATAACCGTCCCCGAGCCCGAAATTCACCTTCTCCCGAACGTTCTTGCAATTGAACCAATACAATTTCCTCGTCTCATTTATGCATATCACGCTGATCGTGTGCCTTTTGCAAAGGCAAAAGTACTTCTTGCAATACTTCTTGTGTAACTTCTTCAGATCCGCGAAACTGGTGCACGGGTACAACAAATTCAACGTACTATTCATACACTTGATCGACCATCTCGGCTCTACCATTATCTTCGTACTTCGTTACCCGTTGAGGTGTAACCGAACGACCGAGAGAGAGATATATATTTACATATATATATATATATATATATCTTCTCGATGGAATGCAAATTGCAAATTTTTCTTTTCTTTATCTCTCTCTCTCTCTCTCTCCCCCTGTATAAAGTTTGATCCAAATTAATTTTTTCCTCGACTCGTTCGTTTCTCTTTCGATCGATGCCT